GCAAACGTTTGAACCTCTCCAGCCCGACCTTAAATCCCAGCGTCTTGATGTCCTCCTGCACTTGTTGCTGGAACTCTCTGTAAGTAAAGGGCTTGTACTTGGAGCTCTCCATTATCTGGCCTTCTCCAGGGAACACGAAGTAGCATATTGATATTCTGTCTTCCTTGCACTTCTTCACCTTCACCCTATGCTTCACGCTCCTAAATTCATCGTCGCTAATCGCCTGCAAAACCCACAAAAGAAACTACTATAATTTGAAAACAGATTATCTAGTCATGGGTCTGGGTGTTCGTAAATTAGCTAACACAAATCGTATTAGTGAATCCAAAAAAATTATATATATATATTTTTTTTACTTTCTTACATTATCGATTTACCTGCATCATGTCACCGATATTGACGACGAGGGTGTTGGGGACCGGTTCGAGGGGCACCCAGACATCATTCTTCAGGAATTCGAGGCCACTCACTTGGTCGTCCTGCAGCACTATCGAGACCACTGAACTGTCCGTGTGGGCTTGCATCCCCAACGGCGCCGGCGACGTCTCCTGCTCGGCGACAACTTTGTTATTGTTGCCGTCACCGTCGGCCGGCTGCTGAGGTGGAACCTGCGGGTAACGGTAAACTCGGATGATGCCGGTGGGTTCTGACACGTAATCGCCGCACTCCAAACTCGCAAGCTTTCCCATTGCGTCCGCCACCGTCCTCGAGATTCGGCCCATGTGTTTCCCGTACTCTCCCACCAGCGTTCTAGAAGAGAAAGGTTCGTTGCGCAAGAACAATTAGTCGTCTGACGTATTAAAAAGCAAGAATGTAGGTGGAAACGTACTTATCAATTTATCGAATAAGCCCATATTAAAGCCCCAGGCCAATAATTGGGGGGCCAATAAGCTAAGCTCAAACACTAGGCATAAGGGAGGACAATATTTGCCTACCTCGAGCTGAACTCGTTTACTAATTTTTGTTCAGATTAGAAGTAATTTTCTATGATAAGTTTGTTTGAGCTATAAAAAAAAATTCATGTTTATTGAGTTAAGCACGACCTAGGCTCCTTATGAAATGAGCTTGGTATTTTTTTTGCTAAAAATACTGTAATATCGTAATCTCAGCGAAAAATACTAAAAAAAAAAATAATTACTAGTTTGCAAAATGAGCGAGTACTACACTTTCATAATCTACATTATCAAGCAACTCAAGAACTAAACTCAACAAAACCACTTAATTAGTCTAGCTAGCTCACGTGTCTAGCATCGTAACTTGGTTCAACCTCAATCGTGTACAAACGAGTCCGTTCGCAAACTAGTTCTTTATATAACTAGACAAAATTCTACTTTTCCCCATCAAAATCCGGCCAATAACAATACTCATTTTTCTTGAGAATTCGGACAAGAAACCACTTTGCACATTTAAGACTTAAGCCGAAACATTAATCCTCGACAAATGGACAGATGGGGGAATCGATTTCCTGTCACGATACGGCCTTTGTACGAACTACACAGACACCGCAAACAAAAGAATCTCCTTTTTCGCGACCCTTAAACACCCAACGTGGTCGTGAATCGCCAGCTTTAATTTGTTCCTTTAATTTGTTCTTTCAAAAATGCCTAGACGTCTACATACATCGCTAGTTCATCACTAATGACTCAAGACAATATCCTAATGCATGCATGGTAACAGTAAAATGATTCATTAGTTTTTTTTAGTGAAAATTATTCATAAGTTAGTTAGTACAGTAAAATTGTACATTCAACCTACAAAGCCAAGCCATCCATTGCCTTTATAGTCTTGACCTTATGGAAATGACCCATTTTAGTAATATATACATGAAAACTAGTTGCATATACAGTTTCGAATAATTCAAGAAGTTTATATCACACTGCCAAGAATCGGTTGATAATAATAATTCGTGTTAACTCGTGTTGTTGGTAGAGGTTCAATAGTTAGCTAGTGTGTGTTCATGAATGAGTTATCCAAATTGCATATATGCACAATACTAAAGCATGGATTGAAAAACCGTACCGTAGTGGCGACATGGAAAAAAAAAACGGAAGCGAAACCGATATGTATGAAACTGTTGAACCACCGTTAAACCACAATTTTAGCATAAACTATCTTACTTCTAGCTTTTTCAGTACAACCTGCGGTACGATTTTTCGATTCTAGCCGGCAAAAAAGAAAAAGAAGGTACCTGAAGGATTGAAGCGATGGATGATGACAAGTTGCAGGAAGTTGAGAGGAAGAGAGAGGGAGATTAATGGCCTCAACCCAATTGATCTCCTGGGCCGACTTATCCAGGGTCCGACCGGACGAGTTCAGAATGGGCGTGCCCCAGAAGTAGGACGCCGTTCCATCGCCGCCGGAGGAGAAGAGAGCCTGTTTGGAGTCGAAGGGCTGGGCGAAGAAATCGGCGGCGTGAGTCTTGAGCTGCTCCAGAAGCGGTTCGGGGACACCATGGTTCACCAACCGGAAAAACCCCCACTCCCGGCCCGCTTCCCGGAGCTTCTCCACGTCCGGCCGCTCCAGATCTATTACCGGCACCGCCGCCTCGAGGGGAGGTGATTTGTGTTGGGTGGTTACTGCTTCTTCGGGCTTCCCACCGCCACCGCCACCCTCGTCGACGTGGATGGTTCCGTTGCTCGTTTGTCGGCGGCGGCGGAAGACCGGCGGGTAGGATTGAGGGTCGTTCATATTCAGAGTTTTTTTGCTATTTTTTTCGGGGGGTTTTTTCGAGGAGTGTGTTTCAATGCTTGGTCTGCTTCTTGAGCGGCAAGAGAGCATCTCCGTCATTAATTTTATAAACGCGACAGCTACTGATTCTTTATTTTTTATTTTTGTCAACGAATTTGGAGGGGTGGGCTTCGTCCACGACAGTCTACATCGGCGGCCGGAGGTTTCTAACTAGACCCTATTCTTTTATTTTCATAAGCAAAAGGGCAAATACAATATTATATCCATAACTATTATGTATCGGGGATTTATATCCGCAACTATCAATATACAAACTATTATCCAAAATTACTGTTCAGCGTAATTAAATGGATAGAACTCCGTTATCGTGAGTTTAATTGTAACGGTGCCGGACACGTCAGCCGCCTCGTAGGATTCCACGTAGGATTTCAATCAAGTACTAATTTTATTAACTTTCTTACCCCTTTTCATTTCAATAGCTCCCCCAAAATCCTAGGGTTGGCTCCCGATAGAGACGAAGTGAGAAAAGGTCGCCGCCACCGTCGTTGCGACTTCACCACCGTCGCTTCCGGCCGTCGCGACCTTTACCGCCGTCGCTTCCCACCGTCTCGACTTTCACCGCCGTCGCTTCCCACCGTCCCGACCTTAACCGCCGTCGCTTCTCCCCCATTTCACAGCTTGTTCGATTGAGGAACCTTCCTGGTCCAGGGAAGAAGACTGGTTCGATCGAGGGTAAGTTCTTCTATTAACCCTGCCCCTGTCTACCTCTTTCCATCGCCAACTTGATACACGAATGGAATGTTTCTGCATTGGATGGAATTAGGAAAAGGTTGTGCTAAAACCCCAGTTTGATACACGAATGGAATGTTTCTTTTCAGTAGGAAGAATAATGTCTGCATTGGAGGGATCTTCTTGTTCAGCCAACACAAATGGCGTTGTCGGGCCGCTGTGCCATTGTAACAAACCTTGCATCGTGAACAAGTCTGGTACTAGTAGGAATCCAGGAAGGCAGTTTTATTGTTGTCAAAATTGGAAGGTAATTGTCTTTGTTGTGACGTTTGGGTTTGTTTACCTATGACCTTCATCTTAGTAATAGGTTTCTTTTCATTTGTAGACGAATGATTGTCGGTTCTTCCTATGGGTGGATAAGTATATGAGAAGGGATCGATCAGTGCGGTCTTCACATGATGATGAGACAGTTGGTCTTAAGGCAAAACTTATGGAAGTGGAAGCAAGCAACAACAAGCTCTTAGAAGAGTTGAGTAGAATGAGAGAAAGTCATGCAAGGTTGGTTTCCGAGCTGAGCAGAATGAGCAACATTATCTCTATCTTTGACACGAAGATAACAAGGTTGATGTATTGTCTAATTGGTGTCATAGTTTACGCTGCATTCTGTAGATTCCTGGGAGTTTGAGGTATAGGAAAATGTAAGCCAACACTTATGTAATGTTCAATTCCATTCTAGTTTGAGCATTGTCGACATGTTTGGAAAATAAGTAAACTTCAGTTTCAGTATTGTTTCGTACGATCTGAGCACTTCTAGAACACTTTGTACCAAAACTAAATCATTTCAAAAGAAGTTGACAGCATCACATCTGCACTATTTTGGACAAAATGAAGCGAGTCTGTACAGTATGCAAAATGTGGTGAACCAACTGGAATCACCTTACAAAGCTCGATTGAAATTGTTCCATAACGCTAGATACTTGCGTAGTGTTTGGGACAAGATGAATTGAGCTTGTACAAAATGCAAAATGTGGTGAACCAAACCAGAATCACCTTACAAGCAATATGTTGCAAATCTCCTGCCTATTAACATACTGTTCTACCATAGATAACAGCTAAAACATAACAAGGAAACAGTCCACACACACACGTCTTCAAGCAATATGTTGCGGTTGAGACTCAGGTTGAGTTGAAGGAGCTCCCGTTGTATCAATCTGAGTTGGTTGAGTTCCAACTCCCTCTGCAGAATTACCAGCTCCATCTCCCGATCCAGTTGCAAGATTCTCATAGATGCAATCAACCCCTAGAGCCTGTCTAACTTCTCCATCCACCACCAAGTTCCTGTGAAGGTTCCCATTTCTTGATTTCTACATAAGGAAAACAGACTTAAGGGTTCAAAGTTCAGAATATCATGTAAAGGAGTCAAGGATTATATGGCATATGAGAGTCTTACACGTGCTGGTGGGTTCAAATTCTCTGGACAACTCCTTGCATTATGTGTCGTTGACCGACATTTAGAGCAGCGCATAACCCTCTATGAATACCACACAAGACACCAATCAATCAAGTTTCTCAAAATGTTCAAACTAGCACATGAACAAGTGGCATACCTTTGGACGGGTTGATCCTTCAGCCTGCTGCCCTATACCTCTGCCGCGGGTTGATCCTCCAGCCTGCTGCCCTCTACCTCTGCCGCGGTTTGATCCACCAGTTTGTGGGTTGGGGCATTTTCTCACGTTGTGACCAGCACTCCCACAGTTTGAGCAATGCAACAACACTCCTTTTTTTGACATTCCTGTACCCGAAGGCCTCCCATCTCTGTGCAACCTTTTCTCAAGTTCACCTGCTTCCTTTCTCCTTTTCTTTTTTGGTCTCCCTGGCATCTTTTTTTGCTTTGGAGGGTATATTGGATACCCTTCAGCCCTAGGCCAGGCTTGCTGCCCCACAAGACATGGAATCCCTACTTTGTAAACTTTAGCAACAGTAGGTACAAAGTAGAAGGGATCCACGTAATCTTCCAAGTGCAGCCTCATTAGCCCAATGGCGGAGAGTACATGGCAACAAGGGAGACCACTTAGGTCCCAAGCACCACATGTACATGTACGATTCTTCAAATCAACAACAAAGGCTGAATTCCCAAGTTTCACCTCTACCATGTGCTCGCTGCTAGCTAGAGAAACACACTTCCTTGCATCTTCATCCTTCTTCAGTATCTCACTCATAGGACATGGGCAAATCAAACCATGCATCCTGTCAAACTTCTTGCGCTTCTTCCTCATCATCACCATAATATGAGTTCTGATACCCTCTAACATCTCAATTATCCTATATTCTCTGTACTTAACAACCACATTGTTCCAACTTTCACAAATATTTGACTCCACTGAATCTGATTTGGGCAGTCTAGATAGGAAAGCACGGCAGAACGTTTTTGGATCTTGTTCCATAAAGTCAGTGTAGGGTGTCATTTGTGATTGCGTACCTTGGAACACTTCCATTTTTTGGGTGGCAGCTCGAAAATCAACCTCATTAGTCGCATAAACAGCCTCCCAGTACACTCCTCTCATATGCTCGTTCTTCACCTTAGTCTTCCAATTAGCAAAGACGTGTCGGGCGCATTTCCTATGTTCTGCAAATGGCATGACTTCATGAATTGCTTCAACTAGTCCCTGAAATTATGTAGTAATATTAGAATGCAGAAAATATGATATTGGAATGAAAAAAGATTATGTACAGAAATCATCACTCACCTTTTGTTGGTATGAAATTACACTCCAACCATTTCCATCACCGAATCCTAACTCTTCTTGGAGAGTGTTCAGGAACCAAGTCCAAGAACTCCTATTTTCCCCCTCAACGACGGCCCACGCGAATGGAATTATATGGCTGTTTCCATCCTTGGCCACAGCGGTAATTAACATCCCAGACACTTCGCCTTTCAAAAAGGCACCATCAAGAGAGAAAATGGGGCGACAACCAGCCAACACACCTTTTTTAAGACTAGAGAACCCGATGTAGATCCGCTTGAAATACACCTTGTCATCTAATACAGGATCTGGATCAACCTCGAGAAAAAACCTCCCTTCTCCATCTGCTGCAATTAGAGCGGCCACATAATCCCTCAGTTTGTGGTACTCTTGTACAAGTGTACCATTCATCATCTCCTTTGCAATGGCCTTAGCGCCATAACATGTCCTTACCTCAACGTCGACACCCAAATCTCTTTTGACCTCCATTGCAATTTGAGGACCCTTCCATTCGGGATTGCTTCTGAAACGGTCAAGAAAGTGTTCGGCAATGAAATGAGCCGTAGCTAGGTTCACTCGTGTCGACCTAGTACAAGAGTGAGGCAATCCAACCCTTCTCACCATGAAATACGACCTGTCTGCCCACCATGCACCGTAGACCCTCCATTTACAAGCAGCATCTTTACAACGGAACTCCACTCGACTCGGTTCACTCCGATTGCAACACACACTGGCCCCGGCAGCAACCCCATGTTTGGCGACAGCTTTCTTGAAACTCTCAACAGTTAGAAACTTAAGTCCCACATGGAACTCCAACTGTTTGTGATCACACAATGGATCATAAAATGGAAGATTGTCCATCATGTCCTCGGGTTCTTCATCATCTAATACATGCTGACTTCTGTGTGTTGGTGTTGATGCTTCATCCGGATCGAAGTCTTCGTCAGACTCATCCTCCTCATCTGATCCCACAGCAGCACGAGATTGGTTTGCCTCTTCATCAGAACCACTATCAGCCCCCTCTTCCTCCGATCCCTCTTCACCAGAACCAATATCAGCCCCCTCTGCCTCAGATCCCTCTTCCACGTCAGAATCATCTACATTGAAGATCTCCCTAGCAGCTGAACACTCTCCCACCACATGTGCCTCAACAATGTTGTCTGCCTCCTCGTTGTCTCCCATGAGTCCATCTCCCTTCTCAATTACCTCAGCATACACAGTAACCACCTTAGTATCGTCTAAATCAACAAGCAGCCCCTCCATCACCTCCTTATCAGATTTAACTTCATGCAGGCCATCAGACATCGTGGATCCCGGGGTCAAGTACCAAATCTTCCGGACGCCTTCATAGTGCAAATGCACTGTAGCCAATGCCACAAGTCCAAAGTAGGACATTTGATCAACATCGACGGTGAATTTTTCTAAATCACCCCCCACATATCGTGGTTCATCACCGGAGAAGTCCATCTCGCCTCCGTGATGGTAGTCAATCCCCATGTATTCTGTCATCTGCATGGTCAAGTATTAAACAGGTTGTTATATTGCTTGACAACAAATTGACACAACAACAACCATAAAATATTCTCGTTCACATGTGCTGGTTATCAAAAGATGGGGAAATTAGACCTCCAACCCACTGCAATTGACCATTCTATCCACCAATTCCAATTTCTTTCACATTGATACAAGGGCAATTTCGTGAACAATTTGAAAAGGTCCCACTGTGGTCCTCACGCCAACTTGCACGAACGTTTTCAAAGGAGGAAACTATAAATAGCGGACAACATGGGCATGGATGGAATCGACACAACCCTAAGCCAACATAATGGGTGCTGGAATCGACACAACCCTAAGCCAACAGAATGGGTATTGTTCGAATTGGAGAATCGGTACTGAAAACCTAATCTTTCAATACTGTAAGCTTTTGACGGAACAAACCAGAATCACCTTACCTTCGTCCCGGGAATCGTCCAGTCTAGCTTCGATCAGTCTACCCAAAGTCGTTGACCGCTCCGGATCGATTCGACGGAATCAGGCGATGGAAGCCTCGCGAATCGTCAGTCTCCTCGGCCGCGTCGATTACACTTCCTCTGGCGCGGTAAAACTAGCGATTTCGTCGGATGAAGTGGGGGCGGGGGGACTCAGGCGGTGGCAGTCTCGCCGCCACGCCTGCAAGACGGTGAGTGGCTCGTCGGCGACTTTGGGTCTTCGCAGACGAAGGGGGGATGGGATGGACAGATGAGAGAAGAGGGGTTTAGGATAAGAATCGGGTGAGTGGTTGTGAGAGGAGGGGAGGATATTTGTTTTATTTTTTAAGTTTTATGTTATTTATTATTATTTAATCAATTCCACATGGGATGCCACGTCTCCCTTCCACCTCAGCTTTTTTTGCCAGGTCAGCGTTGCAGAAAGACATTCTAACGGGGTATTAACGGACAATTAACGATTGGATAATAGTTTGTATATTGATAGTTGCGGATATAAATCCCCGATACATAATAGTTATGGATATAATATTGTATTTGCCCTAAGCAAAAATACGGTAACGGATGAGGTCAGTAACCTTATGGTGAGTAACTATGAGTAACCTGTCCACATCAGCATGACATCAACATCCTCTCTCTCCTGGAAAGCCTTTAATTTTCCTCTCCTTAATCTTTGATGGACGATTTCTCACTCGTTTTAAGTCGAAATTTAATTTTTTTGCACAGTTAAATCAGATTAATTGTGCTCTTCAAAATGATATCCACTTTGATATATTTTTCGAACAAAAAAAATTGAGCCATTTTTTACCAGTCTATACCATATGGTATTGACTAGTATTGAAATAAGAGCATACCTATGGTTTGAAAAGCGTACCATGATGGTATGACACAAACCAAAATTGTAGGATGGTTGAATACATGATAGTAGAAATATATTAATTGTCATTTACGACTTTTAACATTGTATACCATAAGATACCATAAGATATCACCCCGTACCATGGTGGTATTGTATGGTATTGTGTGGTATTTTTTGGTCTTGTAATTTGTTCACCTAGAAATTTGTAGATCCAATAGATCATGATGAACTCGTCCCTGCTGTGCAAACGTTTTCAAAAACGAATTAAAAACGAAGAAGATACCATATGGTATGCAGTTGGTACCGAGAGGCCAGAATTTTTTTCCCCAAAAAATATTGAAAATTGATCTCATTTTGTAGAGCACAAACCAAAACTGTAGGATGGTTGAATACATGATAGTAGAAGTATATTAATTGTCATTTACGACTTTTAACATTGTATACCATAAGATACCACCCCGTACCATGGTGGTATTGTATGGTATTGTGTGGTATTTTTTGGTCTTGTAATTTGTTCACCTAGAAATTTGTAGATCCAATAGATCATGATGAACTCGTCCCTGCTGTGCAAACGTTTTCAAAAACAAAATAAAAACGAAGAAGATACCATATGGTATGCAGTTGGTACCGAGAGGCCAGAATTTTTTTTCCAAAAAAAATATTAAAAATTGATCTCATTTTGTAGAGCACGATGAACTCGTTCCATCTATGCAAAAAAAATTAAAATCCGAGTTAAAACGAAAAAGATATGAGTCAATTAAGAAAGCTAGTGAAAATAAAAGGGCTAATACCACTGGGAAACCCGAACTATTAACTTTGTGCCATTTGTGTCCTAAAGTATTCGATACGACAATTGTGTCCCAAACTATTATAGTTTTGTGTCATTTATGTCCTGACGATTTTGTTGACCGTTATATATAACGGTTGACCAGACGGTGGTCAACTTGATGTTGACTTTTGCTGACGTGGTAAACACGTGGCAGCCACGTAGATGCCATGTCAGTGACACCTCATATTTTTAATTAAAAATTAAATAAATACTAAAATTGAAAAAACTAAAAAAATATATATATATATAAACTCACCTAAGCAATCAATCCGAACAATTAAATAAATACTAAAATTAAAAAAAATCAATGCAATAAAAAAATTCTCCTGTGCCTAGCCCATAAATCCCCGCCGCTTGAATGCTCTCTTCGTCATTGTCAAACAAGAATGCTCTCAAACAATCAATTCCGGCCGCCACTGTCGAACAATCAATCCCCGCCCGCCGCTGTCAAACAATCAATTCTTCGCCTCCCCGTCGCCTTACCTCCAAATCCAGAAGTTCGATGTCGCCTCCACCACCGACATTGTCACCAGCGCCGCCGCAGATGGAATAGAGAAGTTCTCTATCCCGTCGCACCAGCTGGTCATCGAGCACGAGATAGACCAGAACCCCTAGGCCACCAACCCAAACGCCGACGCTGAGATTTTCTTCATGAGCTCCTACGCCTGAGCGAGGCTCGTTGGGTGTTGGCTCTCCGGCTGCAGGTCGTCCACCATCACCATAACCGCCACCCTCCCCTTCTTCGCCGCCCCGCCACCGAACAGATCCAGATGAGGGAAATCGAAAACGAAAACGAAATTGAGAACAGAGTAAGCAAAGCGCGGTGGTGGCAGGGGATTATAAGAGGAGAAGGAGAAGGCGGAGAAAGGCCAGGGGTCGGATGAAGGGATAACGATCTAGGGTTTGCGATCTAGATTTACCTTCCCGCGTTCTCGATTTGGATATGGGGGAGTTGAAGAGACGCCTGCGGTTGCGGAGGGGGAGAGGGAAGCTTGAGTCTCCTTCCGACGGAGAAGTCGATGGGGGAGGATGATGATGCCGGTGAGCTGAGTCAGCCGCGACCGGAAGAACATCGATGGGGGAGGATGATGACGACGATGAGCTGAGTCTCCTCCGGCTTTTTTCCCTTTCTTTTTCATCTGCTTCGATCTCACTCACTTCTAGCCACCCAGAAAACACAATCCGAACCCAACTCACTTCTAGCCACCCAGAAAACACCAATCGATTTATGGATCTGGCGACGGGGACGGGTTTATGAAGGCGGAATCTCATGACGACGGCAGTGAGGGAAGTGATTGAAATCTAGCCGCTGTTGTAGCGATTACGACACTCTACTTCGTGGGTTAGTGGAGAAGAAATGGACGGATGCAGAGCTTGAGGATTGGGTTTCAGGGAGGATTTTTCAGACTGGATATAGACGGCGGCGGAAATAAGGAAGAGAGGAGACGAAGAAGCAGCGGACGGGAGGAGAAGGGGACGAGAGAGTTGTAATTTTTTTGTTTTTTATTTTTGTATTTAAAATTTTTATTATATGGAAAAAAAATATTAAAATTAACATTAAATTTCCACATCAGATGCCACATCAGCGCTGACTAGACTTTCTGTTAAAAACTAACGGTCAACGCTAGTCAACTCTAACGGAAAAATAGTTTAGGACACAAATGTCGTATCGAATACTTTAGGACACAAATGACACAAAGTTAATAGTTCGGGTTTCCTAGTGGTATTAGCCCAAAATAAAAATGACCTTTGATTCTCCATCCTTAGATCTGGATTTTCTAAATGAATGGTCCATATTTGGTTATTGATGGGTGCATAACCCATGGTTATGCACCCTAACTTTAGCCCAAAAATACAATTATGTAGACAAAATTTTGACGGTTTGGCGAAATATAACTATATTTGGCGAAAATACTAAAAATAGACACTTTCGTCCAAATGTTTGACGGTGTTAGTTAACGTACTGACTGAACTAACGATTTTGCTGACTTGGCGACTTTTTGATAACATCGTTGCCACGTGGAATTTATTGGAAAAAAACAAAAAATAAACAATCATACAAACGAATTAACGTGTCCTCCCATCTTGCCCTCTCTCTCCATAAACAAACGAATATCTCTAGGGAAAAATTGCCTCTCTCTCCCTCCTACTTTCTCTCCGATCTTCCCTCACACCCACCATTGCCAATCTCCGATCTTCCACCTCTCTCTCCTTTCGATCTTCCTCCAAACTTGCAGCGCCGCGACGATTAGCATCCAGTCATCCACAACAACGTTTACCAAATTTGTAAACCCCCAAATCCATATATAGGTGGCGGCACAAAAATAGCAGCGACTGCGAGCTGGGTGACATGGGTTACATGGGCTCGGCGACGAGTCTTTCAGAAGAGGTACGGAGGAGATTGTTGGTGTGGGGTTTTGGAAAACAGGGTGAGGGACCAGCAGAGGAAGAAGGGGAAGAATCGGCGGTGGGTGACGATTGCGGAGAGATTGAGTGACAGAGACGAAATGGTTGTCCCTAATCAGCCGTACACTGAATGGGACCAAGTCGGATGAAGAGCTCTGTCAGTACTATGTCGCCGTCGTCGAGCACAAGTGCCAAAATTTGCCTCGCCCGAGGGCCGATCAGATGATGAAACATAGGCTGAGCTTTTCAGACTTGATCTACATAGAGGATGAACTTGGAAGAGAGGATTTCCAACGATTTGTGGCCCTAAGTTCGAACATGGGATCTGAAGCGTTGCCTAGCCCGAGACCGAATCTAAGTGGCACTGGCGACAATGGGAATAAAAATCCGGTGAAGCCATGATCCCAGCTGATGGTTAGCAAGCAGATGGTGGGGATCTTTCTTTGTGTGTGGGTTAGAGCTGATCTGAATGAACACATAAGCAATTTGAAGGTCTCATGCGTCGGTCGTGGCATTTTGGGATTCGCCCCTGGCAAGAGGAAGAAGATGAAAGGGGATTGTGTTTTTTTTTCATTTTAATTTTGATTAATAAAAGTTTTTTTTTACTTTTATAAATGACATGGCATCCACCTGTCATTTAATGTTGAAGTGGAAACGAAAGAGAGGGTGAGTTGGCAGCCAGGTAAGCGTTCTGTTAATTTGATTAACGGTGTTATTGACGTCGTTAATTATGTAACGAAAATGGATATATTTGTCATCAAACTTTCAAAATTCTGGCTATTATTGGTATTTCTCCAAAAGTGGATATTATTGTCACAAACGTCAAAGTTTTGGCTACACAGATGAATTTTGCCATTTTCTTATGGCAACAAAGGTTTGCTTTGATTTTGGAATTTATTTGTGCGGAGTTCGATAAAGGATCACGGATGTGCTTGGTTAGTTAAAATATTATGTAATAAAAGTAAAATTTTAAATAATTTAGTTAAAATTATATATGATTTAAATTTTGAAAAAGAAAGGGCAACAAATAGAACTAGTTAGAGAAGTCAAGTCGAGAAGAGTATCCATAAACTTTCTCATCCCAAACAAGTCATATTGAGGATGAATCAGATCCAAAATTGTCATCCTAATTAGATTAATTACCTGAATTAGGGATGACAACAAAACTCGAACCCACGAGTACTCTACCTGACCCAACCCGGTCAACGAGGATAAAACCCGTCCGGGTTATAGGTTAAACCAGCTAGTCCAGGGGGCGGACCCTCAGACACCCCTAAAATCTTGGAGAAAATTTATCGAACCCCCGGTAGTAGTTTGAGCCTAGGAAAAAAAAAAGAAAAAAAAATAGTGGCTTATGGGATTTGAACTTGGGACACCCTAGTTATTAGCTAACATGTTTTCCATCACACTATAACTCATATCTTGCTATAATTTTAAGATAAAGATATTTATAAACATATTAATTTTATCCACAATTTGACAACAAAACCCTAAAACTAAACACGACTCACATTCATCTTCGCAAAAAATAGACTCTGCTCTGCGGCTGCTTCCATCAAGCTTCAATGTCGCGCCGCTGAGCCACGATCTGGCCTCACCCTCCTCCGTCGGCCTCGCCCTCCTCCGCCGGCATCGCCCTCCTCCGCTGGCCTCGCCCTCATCCGCCGGCCTTGCCCTCCGTCGGCCTCGTCCTTGTTCGTCGGCCTCCTCTGTCCGTTGAGTCCTCCTCCATTTCAGCTGCTAGCCGCTGCAACTTCCCCTGACGGTAAGCTTGAACTTGCTGCCATGATTCATGGATGATCATGGAATTAAGAACTAGTGGGAGTAGACAAGTTGTTGCTGAGCGATGTGAGCAAGCCTTGGAATTAAGAACTAGTGGGAGTAGACAAGCTTTACAATCTCGCTCAGAAGCTTTTACAAGTTTGCCTGACCAAAGTAAAACATTAGGAATTGAAGAGAACAGAACTAACCCCTGCTTTTCGACATACAAGTATACAACAATTGATGATTCATGGTTTGACAAAGACAGTAGCAATACAAGTATACAAAGATTAGGATCGCCTTTTCAATTGTTAATACAATTGTTAAGCAGCAGTTTTACAGTGGGGAAGCATAACTTTGGGTGGGGAATTCCAATCTAATTTGGGAAGCATAACTTTTGGGTGGGGAAAGTAGCGGTAGTTTTACAGTGGAATTTCAATTCTAATTTTATGTACATTCTATGCTAGATCAGGTACCAATGGAAAGATACTACTCAAGACAGGTCCAATCTACTCCTAATGTTCAAACTGAAGGTGCTGAAGCTAGTGGGAGTAGACAAGCTCAAACCTTTCCTCCTTCGTCGACAGTGAGAGCTCCTCAAATACAAGAACCAAATCTTTCAGGTTCAGTCAATCGAACTCCAAAAGAAAGTGAGTCTTTCTCAGCAGAGTCAGATAGAGAGTTTGATGAAAACTCTTTGGTGCTAGATCCAGCATTAAGAACTAAGATATCTAGCTTTCATCCCAATGTCCGTGACCAGGTTAGAAGATTTTATCTTCAAAAAGGTCCTATTCAACCAAAGAGTCATGCTTTTCCCGCCAGAAACTTCAGTGGAAGGCAGCGTAGATTCTAGGCTTCTTGGTTTAAGAAGTATAATTGGCTTGAATATAGTGTCTCAAAAGATGCTCCTTATTGTCTATATTGCTATGTGTTCAGTAAGCGAGGTGGGAGTAATGATGGCTTTATTGGTGAAGGATTTAGAACATGGAATAAATGGAAAGCTTTTGATGATCATGTTGGGGAGCATAACAACTACCACAATAGAGCTAAACACAGTTCAGATCTTTTATTGAAGCAAGCAAGAGGAATTGAAGCTGCATTATTTAGACAATCAGATCAAGCCAAAAGAGATTATCGAATTCATTTGGTTGCTTCACTTGATTGCATAAGGTGGCTAGTAGTGAATGGATTATCATTTCGAGGGCATGATGAATATGCAACTTAACAGAGGTAACTTTCTTCAGCTATTAGATTTCCATGCTCTTGGTAGAGAAGATGTGCAAAGAGTGGTTGGGAGGAATGCTCCAAAGAATCTCCAACTCAGCTCTCCAAAGATTCAAAGAGATCTTATTCATGCCATGACTTGTGAAACGACTAAGAAAATCATTGCAGAGATTGGGAATAATTTTTTCTGCATATTGGTTGATGAGACTCGTGATATATCAATGAAAGAGCAGATGGCTATTGTTTTGCGTTATGTGAATTCTGATGGTTGTGTTATGGAAAGATTTCTTTGTACTTCTCATGTGCGAAATACTAAAGCTTTGACATTGAAGCAATGCTTTTGAAACATGGATTGAGCATGTCAATGATAAGGGGACAAGGCTATGATGGAGCTAGTAACATGAAAGGGGAAATAAATGGTTTGAAGACCTTGATCTTGGCTGAAAATTCTTCGGCATATTACATTCACTGCTTTGCTCATAAACTTCAATTAGCACTTGTTGCGGTAGCATAAAATCACAAAGAAGTTGGTGACTTTTTCACAACAGTCAATAGTGTGACTAGTTTGGTTGCATGATCTTGCAAACGAGCTGACATGGTTCGAGATAGCCAAACTAGGAAGCTTGCGTAGGCTATAGCTGCTAATGAACAAGAAACTGGACAAGGACTGAATCAAGAAATGAGTCTCAAAAGGCCAGGTGATACTCGTTGGGGTTCTTATTATGGTGCAATTCTCAATTTTGAGCACTTGTTCTCTACTATTATTAATGTGTTGGAGAGAATCGAGGATGATCCAACTATAGAACCAAAAACAGCGAGTCATGCATGGCGGATGTTGATTACAATGCAAGATTTCAGGTTTGTCTTCATTTTGAAGTTGATGATTGAAGTGTTAGCAATTACAAATGAGTTGTCACTAGCATTGCAAAGGAGAGATCAAGACATTGTAAATGCTATGAAACTTGTTAGTGTGGGAAAAACTAGATTACAAGAGATGAGAGATCGAGGATGGGAGTCTCTACTTGAGGATGTTATCTTGTTTTGCACTAAGGAATCTGTTCACGTTCTTGGCATGGATGATGAGTATGTTCTTCCAGGACGGTCAAGGCGCAAGGCTCCACAGATCACAAACTTGCATCACTATCAGGTTGAATTGTATTACTCTGTTCTTGATATGCAGCTGCAAGAGATGAACAACCGTTTTGATGAGGTGAATACTAGGTTGTTGACTTGTATGGCTTCTCTTAGCCCGGAGAATGAGTTTGCTGCTTTTGACAGGGAGAAGCTGGTTAGTCTTACTCGATTTTATCCTACAGAGTTTGGTCATCTTTCTGACTCTTTTCTTCTAAGGGACTTTGAGAATTACTATAATTCTGTGAATAATGATGAGTTATTCCATGGATTAAAAGGAATTGATGAATTGTGTCAGCTGATGGTGAAGAAAAAAGTGAATCTATCATATCCATGGGTATATTTGCTTCTCAAAGTTGTATTGACTTTACCGGTTGCAACTGCAAGTGTTGAAAGAGCATTTTCAGCTTTGAGTTACATCAATAACAAGCTTCGGAATCGACTAGGCGATCAGTTTGTGAATGATTGTCTCGTAGGATATATTGAAAGAGATTTGCTGAATACTGTAGACACAGAGTGTATTTTAGAATGTTTTTAGAATATGAAAACACGACGTGGAAATTTGTTTTTTTTTTTTGATGAATGTTGTACCTTGTATTAACCAAATATTTGTGTTGTTGAATATTATTCTGATACTTTTCTTATTTAAGAATTGTTTTTTTAAATTTTATTTTGAAAACGGACACCCCTACTCAAAATTCCTGAGTCCGCCACTGGCCGCTACACTGTTCACGGGTTGGGTTTGGGTTTAGGTATATCCGCCCCATGAGAACCCCTCACACCCAAATAATTAATTTTTCCAGTATATTTAATATTGTAAACAATATTAACAACTAATCTTCTTTATGTTTGTGGAGACGTGTCAAATTTGTTATTTCTAATTGTGTAGAATGAAGTTGATATAGTGGAGAGTGAAGAAACTTAGTTGACAAGGAGGAAGAAGCTTTCAATTAATTAAGTTGTTTATAGATGTTTATCTTTAATTTTGAACAATTTGTATTGATAATTTGCGGTTTGTTTGTGTGCTCTAGATTGGTGTTTTTGCATGGATAATTTGTATGATAAAATTTATGTTAGACTTTTATTTTGAAATAAACTTCTTATTGTAATTTTTTTACACAAAACTCCACGAATACCCAGCGGGTTGGGTTTGAGTTTTTCGTGTCCTGGGAATGGGATTTTAAGGTCCCAAGTGCCTTTTTCTGTCCCCAACAGAGAGAGAGAGATTTCTAGCGACGGCGGAGGAGGCTTTTTCAGTGATCGGAGATGGCAAGCGATGACCTCTCGGCGACTGGAGATGGCATGTGATGATTTTTCGGCGACATTGTTGATTTTGTGATGTTTGTCCAGTTATTTTGTAATGTTTATAAATCTAGTTTGTAATGTTTATATCAATTCGGTTTGTATTGTTTATTATTCTTGTTTTTCATCTTTCTATATTACATTTGTAATGTTTATATGACTATTTTGTATATATTATCATTTTTAATGTTTGTTTGTCTAGTTTGTATACTTGTATGTTTGTAAGGTTTGTTATTTTGTAATGTTTGTCGAGTTCTTTTGTAATGTTTGTAAGTTTTGTTATTTTTATCTAATATGTTTGTCATTTTTGTGAACCATGTTTATAATATTTTTTATGTACAAATTAATATTAAAAAACATAAAAACTATACAAATCATACTGACATTATGTACAAAAATACTAACAATACAAACTAACAACACTTGCATCACAAATCGTTGTTCTTCCCTTACAATGTCGAGAGATCTATCGTCGCCGCCGACTCTTTCCACCGCCGCCGCCTCTCTCTCCTCCACCATCATCTCTCTCTCTCCTCTGTGTTCCGACGACGACGACTAGATCTGCTTTCTCTCTCTCCAAGGCTGACGCGATCTCTTTCCCTCTCTCCACCATCGTCGGCGCCGTCAAGATCTTCATTGTCGTCGTCGTCGCCCTCTCTTCCATCCTCATCGGCGTTCTCTCTCCCGCTGCAGCTTTTCTCTCTCTCATGTGGACGGTGCTGGCATCGCAGAAGAAGATAGGTTGGAGGGAAAAAAAAATAAACTTATGTGAATTTTTTCATAATCCCAAAATTTTCCCTCCCATTATTTAATCATCCCTTCCCTTATTTCCACTATTAGATCAATTAATAAGGATCCAATGGTTGAGGGGAGTGACTAAGCACCCCCTCCTTAGTCACCAGATCTGGACTCCTGTGGCAGGTTGGAAATCCTATCCTACCACTTATTTATGGAGGTTCTCCACCAGAACGTGTTTCATTCAAAACTTTCAGATTCCTGAGTAATTTTAGGAGGGATATTTTTGTCAACAAATTATTAGTAATTAACTAATTATCATGAATCTTAAAAAAACTCAAGTTCACGACGTTTCTATCCATCCGAAAAATTTTCGGAAGCAAAGCTTCCTCATTCTTATTTTCGTATATATTATATAATTTGGGATAATTAATAATAATTATTTTATATAAATTTAATCAACTTTAGAACGTAAGTATAACCATGATAGGAGTTCTAAACAAATGGGTTAGTATCTTGGGGTGACAATGTTATTTATAAGTTAATTACTTCTATTAATAATTTTTGTATCTTAAGGAAAAGGAGATGAATTTGTATTTCAAATCTAGCTTGTCAGGCCAAGCAATAAACTATAACTAAGTAAACACAATACAAATTTAGGTATATAGAAATTATTATTTTGTATTTCCACACAATAAATAAAAGCCGAATAGAAAAACAGCAGCCCCCATTTCAAATTTCCTGGATGGAGAGCGTTTGTAGGGGGGTAGTTTGGGAAAGGTGTAATATTTTCTCTACCTCTTCTGCGCAGGGCGTACAGGTCAGTTCCAAAGAAAAGCCGGCTTTGCACCTGTCTTCAAGTTGAACGGGCCCAAAAATCTAAGTCGGCCCACTAATATATGTACAACTACCCCCACGTCGTGGAGAGCTTCCCACCTGCAACCACTATGTCTCGCCTGGTGATCTCCTCCCAGCGCATCTCTCGTCACGTACAAGGAATCTTGAAGCTGTAGCACCTACGAACACCACGTTCAAGCATCCTTATCTCAAACCTACCCCCTCCCCTGGGTATTGCTTCTTCAATTTTAGGATCACCAACTGTTATTGCGGGGCGGTAATTAAGCAAGCCCACCGGTTGTGGTGATCCCAACTTTTAGCCTCCGATTGAAGAAATAGTTGTGGGTAGAGGTATGACACTCTGAAAGGTAATTCCTTCGTGCTGTGAAACATGTATTGGGTTTTATGTTCTTGCTATCGTACCAAAGTTTCCTAATCTATGTTTTGTTCTTGATTGGCTTGCTAATGATCGTAGGCATTGATTGTTTTGTTCTCAGTGGAAGGAGAATCACCTCAAATGGACAAACGGATCGCGACCAAGTTGCTGGACGGATTATTGTTGGCCCTTGATTGATTAGGTGGCGGGTATCATCACTTGCTTCTTCTTTACTACTATTTGCAGGTTTGTTATGAAGCAAAAAATTATTTTTCTCCGAATTTGCTGAATGGGTTATGTCAAGTCTCAGAAGGTTATCATGAATTTGGGGTTCCATGTTTACTTCAGGTGCTCTGTATGGTTTCTGCACTAATATTTCGGCCTGGTAACAATGCTGTGGATTCATCTTCTCATACATAAGCGGACTATTTCAAAACACCTGATTATATTTATATGAAGTAATTTCTTATATTTAGATGAAGTAACTGAGTTTTTGTGGTTGTTGTTTGGAACAACAGGTCGGTGAATTTGGATCTTCAATTGTTGTTTCTGATCCTCTATAGCTGTAGGTATACACACCCAATTATATTTTCGTCCATGATGGATACAAGTACATTTGAGTGTGGCGAGTCATCTGTTCATCTCTCATCTGATCCGAATACTGTATTGAAACGTGAGTCTAATAATGGTTGTACGCTCACAAATGACCAAAATTTTCCTTCCTCATCAGGTCAATGATTTGTGTATTTCTTATTCTTCAGGTACAAGGGTTAGAAGTATGCATGTGACAGCATCACTCAATAAACGGGTCATGGATTCGTCGTATCCGTGTATGTAGAGTGGCATCCATGAGACTGTAGTTAGTGTTGCAATATAAATACAATTGTTCACTAAATTTTATCTATCTTAGGGAAATGTCGGGCATTATTTTACGATCCAGAAGATGAGGGGCAGCGCTTTCTC